TGCAGGCTTGTCCCTCTCGCCCAAATTCCTGATACAGTACCTTTCCCTCTTGGAGCCACCTCGCCTTCCGTTTTGCGTCCTTCTCTTCCTTGCGCCCCCCCCACTTCCCCTCCCTAGAGTCGCTCTCTTTCCTCCTCCTGGTGCCTTTTTTTTGCGGATCAGACTTCTCCTCCGGTGTCCTCTTTAAAAGACCAAACGGTCAGGCATGTGCAGTTTGGTCGTCTTCAGATTTACTCGGAAGTAAGTAGCGCAGAGTTTAGTGCGACTCATTCGCAAAGACGGGCGCCTAGGATGGCAGACGTGATTTATGGAATAGTCGGATATTCCTCTCTGCTGAGTAAGACTTTCGCTTAGCAGGTAAAAACGTTAATTTATTTTATCCCTTAACCCTCCCCGATAGATAGCCCTCTCCTCATAGCAACAATTTTTTTTGCCCCCTTTTCTCTCTCTCTCTCCCCCCCCCCCCCCCTCTTTTTCTTGCTTGTGTTGCGGGCTCTGATCTCAGTGGGATTTCATTCTAAGTAGGCTGTGGGAATAAATCAGTGTTCCCGGTGTGTGGGTGGATCACATTTTTGGACCAGCAATGAGGTCAGGTTTGAATTCATCCAGTCTGTTGTGAAAGTAGAAAGGGTTGAACTTTTAAGGTCTCACTCCATGGGTTTGATTTGCTGGGAGGTCCATGATGACTGTTCCTGTGACTCATTGACAATGGTACAAAGTTTGTGTTTGTGTGTGTTTCTAAACTTCTAATCTTTTTCCTGTGTGGCAAGATGTTTTTTTTTTCCTTTTCAGTTGGATGCCGTTTTGACATGACATTTGCCAGATTATAAGTTGAAATAGCTTGTTGGTTTAAGCCTTGTTTGTAAATAAAGATGCAGTATGGGGAGCTTCCCTATTGAAAATGCCTTGACACAGTTACACCTGTCACATCCTGCATTGGATGACAGAAGAAATATCATGCCTGTGCCGAGATGAGAAGGTATAGGAAGGAACAGGGCCAGAAAGTCATTGTATCCTAAGAGAAAACATGCTTTCTATCCGACTTGCGGAGTTAAGCCTGCTGTATGCTTTACCTGTTTCTGCATCATGCTTAGGTCGCATTATTTCTAGTTTAAATTAAGTGCACATGGGACTGTGAAAAAGCTGTAAGTAAATTGCTGTCTATTGATTTATATAAATGCGCCAGAGCTTCTAGCTGACTGTATTGGAATGTTTTTGCTCCTGTGTTATGTAGGATTAAAGTAATGAAGTTTTCTGGTCTGGTCAGTTTATACAGGGAAATGTCTATGTTTTATTTTTCCAGCTGTATTTTTTCTCCAGCTTGTTTCATCTCCCATAGAGTAATCTGAGGTTGTATCTTTGCTATGAACATGCATATGTTGGAGGTGCATCTCTTGTTCATTTAAACTAGGGTGTAAAACTGAAAAGTTGTCCTGGCCCCTGTCTGTGAACATGCATATGTATAGAGCAGTGGACATTGGTTGGAGCTGCATCTCTTGTTGATTTAAACTAGGGTGCAAAACTGAAAAGTTGTCCTGGCCCCTGTCTAGATCTAGATAACAGTTACACCCAGTGATATGCATGTACCTTGAGGCAGAGGGTGGAGATGTGCATTGTTGCTATCCTGAGAGAATTGGAGATAGGAATGCATACCTTTTATCCACCCTATGGGAATGCAGATAAGGATTAGGGTGTACAATTGATGTGTTGCATTTTAATGTGACTTCCAGTATGGTTGTGCATGTAGCCTCTTTTGAGTTGTGGGGGATCTGCCATGGATTTCCTGTGTTAGATATGCAGATCTATCCGCCCTGCCTCACCTTTGGACATGCCAAAGGGTGTTTCCAGGCACCAGCCTTCAGTTGCAGCGTTCTTTAAAGATTTACAGGAATCTTTTCTGGAAGCAAAATGAAGAATAAAATTTGGAAGTAGTGTGTGAAAACACAGGAAAATAATAATCCAGTGGTTTGGAAAAACAGATGTTATATATCTTAAGCTGTTTGTCTCCCTTTTAATAGTGCAGAGACCAGTTTTGGAAACTGCTAAGAGTAAAGACATTTGTATCCCTATTAGCTGCCAAAAAGAAATATTCTGAAAAAGAACAGAAGAGTTAAGAACCTTTTGAAGCTGGATTTTAACAATATATGTACTGATCTTCTACATATTTGGAGTTTTTCCTCCAGTTTTTGGATTGTAGGTCTTGTAAGAGCTAATTATTTGGGCTAAATATCAGGATATGTACGTAGACTTCAAAGTTATGGGTCATTATGTAATGTATACCATGGGTAGAGCTCTTTCTGTCAGGGCTGTGATGAGACCAGAGGGGGGAAATTATTTTTTGTGCTGTACCTCACAAAATTGCTCAGGCAGCATATGGGTGTATATGTTCTGGGAATTCTGGTCCCCGAAAATGTATTTACTGGTACAGTGGGGTCTCTACTTAAGACCGTCTCTACTTAAGAACAATCCAACTTAAGAACAGCTCCATTTGCTAAATTTTGCTTCTACTTGAGAACAGAAATCCAAGATAAGAACAGGAAAAAAACCTTTCCTGCTCTTTTTTTAAGGTCATCTTAGGCTAAAAAAAATTCTCCCCCTAGTGGTAGAGTACGTATTAACCAGCTTTGCATTAGTTCCTATGGGAACTAATGCTTCAATGTACGAACGCCCCTCTACAAAAAAAAAAAAAAAACAACAAAAAAAAAACAGCCAGAACGGATTAATTGGTTTTCAGTCCATTCCTATGGGAAATTTTGCTTCAACTTAAGAACGTTTCAACTTAAGAACACCATTCCAAAACGGATTAAGTTCTTAAGTAGAGGTTCCACTGTAGTTTCTATGGACGGAAAACAGCAGATACGGATTAAATGGTTTTCAATGCATTCCTATGGGAAATGCAGATTCAACATAAGAACTTTTCAACTTGAGAACCACCTTCCAATACGGATTAAGTTCTTAAGTAGAGACCCCAGTTGGGGCCCACCTTAGTCTTTATTAAACAGAGAACTATTTAAGACCTGCAGAGAAAGACTTGTTTAAGACATGTGCAGTGGGATTGTGATAGATTTTTCCTGTTGGAGTTAATAACTTGGAACAATAAATTCTGATAGACATGCAAAGAATTTATCAGCCATATATAGATCCACCATGCTGTACATCATGGTAGAAGTGAGGGACTGGCTTTCAAGAGGAAAAAATGTCCATGCATCTTTGAATTAAGGAGTGATTTTACCATTGCCTCTCCCCTAGTGAGTTTCCATGTCAATTTAGTGATTTGAACCCAAGTCTCTTGAATCCTAGTCTATCACTCTGTCCACTACACCATACTGGCTCTCCTCTCAAAGACAGAATGTGCTAAAATCTTAATCTCTGGTAATGATGGCTCCTACTATCAATCCCATTCATAATTGCCTGAAATATGGTTGTGATTACTGTATATAGTTTCTAGTTTTATCTGGTTAGCCATGTAGAGGATAATGCTCTCCGTGGCTGAGCTCTCATGTTTAAGACAGAATGTGCTAAAATCTTAATCTCTGGTAATGATGGCTCCTACTATCAATCCCATTCATAATTGCCTGAAATATGGTTGTGATTACTGTATATAGTTTCTAGTTTTATCTGGTTAGCCATGTAGAGGATAATGCTCTCCGTGGCTGAGGGCCATGAGAACTAAGAGCCTTCAGAAGCTACATACTTCAGGATACAAAATGCTAAAGCTAAACTTTGGGGGAAACTACCATCTTCTTGCTTTGATCATGAGTAACTAGAGGTTAAGCCTTGTTTGGTGGTGTGGTGGCACTGTGGGCTAAACCGCAGAAGCCGGTGCTTCAGGGTTAGAAGACCAAGCAGTCGTAAGATTGAATCCACGCGACGGAGTGAGCGCCTGTCGCTTGTCCCAGCTCCCGCCAACCTAGCGGTTCGAAAGCATGCAAATGCGAGTAGATAAATAGGGACCACCTCGGTGGGAAGGTAACAGCGTTCTGTGTCTAAATCGCACTGGCCATGTGACCGCGTAAGATTGTCTTCGGACAAACGATGGCTCTATGGCTTGGAAACGGGGATGAGCACCACCCCCTAGAGTCGAACACGACTGGACAAAAATTGTCAAGGGGAACCTTTACCATTTTAACTAGAGGTAAATGGCAGGCTCTTGTTTCTCTTGGTCCCACCACCCTCACAGGTGTGTTTGGCTAGTATATGGGAGAAGGCCTTCTCTATTGTTGTTGCTTCCAGACTTTGGAATTCCCTTCTATGGGAGGCTAGAATACCCTCCTCTTTACTGTACTTCTAGAAGCAGGCGAAAACCTTTCTCTTCAGGCAAGTGTTTTCTGAGTGACTGGCTGCCTGAGTGTTTGATCTTTTTTAGTATTTGTACACCCAGTGTTATCAGCTTTAATATTGTAAGCTGCCTTGGGTCCTTTTAATGAAAAAAGTGGGGGAGGGGATGTTTTAAATAATAATAAATACAGCCTTGTCCTAGACTAAAAGGAACTTAAACGAATCCTGAAAAACCATTCTGACATTGTTTTCAAGTCCTCAAGTATACCTGGGCTTTTTTTTTCCCCAGAAAAAAAGTACAAAAATAATTGCTTTAAACTTATGAAAGAATGGGTTCAGAGATACACATTGGGTTCAGCTGGTAGGTCACTTGCTTTTGTTTCCAGGAAACAGATGGAACTGAGACATGTTGAAATGTTTGGAAAATGGAAATTGTGAAACTGTAATCTATGTTGAGCTCCTTTAAAGCTGTTGGAGCAGCCCAGAACCCTTCAG